TATTTTCCACTCAGATTTATAAATAAATTATATATATATATATATTCTTTTGTATTTAATTTAATAATCTTAGTTAATATCAGTCACACATTCTGTATTAATGCGACAAGTTGCTAGGTTAATATACTTTTAAAAAAGACAGCAGAGTACAGATTGCAGGCCGTGACATTGAAAAGAGGGGAAATTAACGCCGTGTCTGTACGGGTGACGTAGTAAAGTCTTAAAAAAATTCAGTTCCCTAACATAGTGCTAACGTCCCTCTTCGTGTCCATTAACCACAGGAGATGGTCATCGGAGGCCTGCAGCCTGACACCACGTACTCCATCACCGTGGCAGCCTACACCATCAAAGGGGACGGAGCCCGCAGCAAACCCAAGCTGGTGGTGACTAAAGGAGCAGGTCGGTAATAATGACGTTATCATTAGCTGAGCTCCAGAGCACCGCAGGCCAGGTGTTATGAGCTACTGGAGCAAAATGAACCTTAAGGGACTTCAATTGAATAAGAAAAAACAAACATGGCCTATATAGTGTGTCTGGAGTACATAAAAGCTATAAGGGAATGTATAGCTTGGATTGTGCATTAGTGGTTAGCCACACACGGCCTGTAAGGCATTAATGGGTCAGAATGATGGACTAGTCAACCACAGATTAGTAAATTAGCTAAAGTAGCATGTTTCAATTATTCCATTTTAAAGAACTGTCAAGTGTTTCCTAATTGTTGGTTTATGTAAGTGGACTTTTTGGTTGTGTCCTGCGTGTTGCATTTTTAGGACTTTTAGATTTTAGAACGCGCGTCTCAAAACGTTAGCGCTCTGTTTCATTCTACTATTCTAAGGCAGTTTAATTGTACAGGGAAGTGATTTGCTATTTCCATGCAGTGCTAATACTATGGTATTTTTATAAGTACTTTCTCTCTGTACTCATGCAGACTAACGTGTTTTAGCTGTTACATTTTTTTAGCTTTTGGTTTTTTACGTATCTGACGCCATGAGTATTTTGCTTATAGGTTCGACATCAAGTTAACATGGTTTAAGCGCTAATCCAGTCTGATTATTCAGGGCTTCACTTCTACAAGCCAACTACTCGCTAGACAACCCACTAACTAGTCTCTTTTGAAAATGTTGTTTTATACATCCCTAGTGTAAGAATTATGGGGTCTGTCTTATTTAAACTTACCGTGGTATTGGCAGAAAAGTGAATACCTATAGTGAATTTTGGACACTACCTTTCTATCTCTGTGCACATGCAGATGAACGTGTTTTGGCTGGTGCGTTGCTTCTCGTTGTTTTTTATGTGTCTGACGCCATGAGCTTGTTTTTTTAATGATGCCCTGTTAAGTTAAAAGTTGCTATAAATAGCGCTAACCCTGCCTGATTCTACAGAGTTTTCACCAGACAATCCACAAACTAGTCCGTTTTTTTAAATATGTTGTTTAGTGCAAGAACTGTGAGGATTTGACTGAATTTTGGATACTTCCATCATGGTAATGGCATGATATTCTTTGAAGTACCTTTTAAGCAGTAATAGTATATGAATAATGGAAATCACATACTGTGGATATATACAGTATATGGGTTGTTTTTTGTAATAAATATTATCTAGCCAGGCTTAGCGCCCAAACTCCAGACGCTGAGGAGACAGGTGTGCCATTCGCAGGTGTCAAGTGAGACAGCGGCGCCACATATGCATGTCCTTCTCAATGCCTGTCTCTCTCCCTTTCGCTCACACAGTGATGTGGCGCAGTCAAAGGAAGGATCTCCCTGTGCTTCCCGCCTCCGAAAGTGTGGCGAAACGCTTACAGCAGACAAAAGAAATAAATAAATAAACAAGGGCAGACTCAGCCCTACTTAAAGAAGCGGCATCACACTCTTTCATGTGCCAGAACAGAGGGAAGCTTGACCAATGGGGCTCAGAGGAGCCACTCTGGGGCACTTTCATGCCTCATTTCTGCTACATAATACTGTCAGACAACTTAAGCCCTTGCCTTATTGTATTGATAAGGACCGACCCGCCCCTTTCAAACCCCGAACCTTCCCGTGGCCGCCTGTCATCTGAGAAAGCTGGTCGTCCACGAGCTGACATTCTGCATGTCGGAGATACACTTCAGACCCGGCCGCGTGAAGCCCGTCAGTCAGGCTGTACAGTCACGACGAGATGTCAATCCAGCTGCAAGCGGTGAAATAATGTGTACTAGAGCGAGCATTTTAGTGGTTGAAATAGAACTGAAAACATAAAGCATTAACTGAAATAAAAAAATGTTGAGCTATTTGCCAGCTCAACATTTCTCATTTTCATTTAAAGTTGAAGTATTAAAATAGCTAAGTAGAAGGGAATTAAATATTAATTTATATATATATATATATATATATATACACACTACCGTTCAAAAGTTTGGGATCAGTAAGACTTCTAATATTTTTTAAAGAAGTCTCTTCTGCTCATCAAGGCTGCATTTATTTGATCAAAAATACAGAAAAAAAACAGTCTTCTTGTAAAATGTTATTACAATATAAAATAATGGTTTCTATTTTAATATCCTTTAAAATATTATTTATTTCTGTGATGCAAAGCTGAATTTCCATCATCATTACTCCAGTATAAAGTGTCACATGATCTTCAGAAATCATTCTAATATGCTGATTTATTATTAGAAATATCAACAGTTGTGCTGCACAATATTTTTTTGGGAAACTGCGATACTTTTTTCAGGATTCTTTGATTAATAAAAAGTTCAAAAGAACAGCATTTATTCAAAATATAAATCTTTTCTAACAATATCAATCTTTGCTATCTTGACAATTTAACTCATCCTTACTGAATAAAATTTTTAACCTCTTAAAAAAAAGAAAGAATAAAAATTGACTGACCCCAAACTTTTGAACGGTAGTGTATATTGTTAGAAACGATTTCTATTTTAAATAAATGCTCTTCTTTTTAACTTTTTATTAATCAAAGAATCATAAAAAAAAGTATCACAGGTTCCCAAAAAAATATGAAGCAGCAACAGTTTCCAGCTCTGATAATAAATCAGCATATTAGAGTGATTTCTGAAGATCATGTGACACTGAAGACTGGAGGAATTCAGCGCTGCATCACAGAAATAAATTAGATTTTAATGTATATAAAAATAGAAAAACTTTATTTTACATCGTAATAATATTTCACAATATTACATTTTTTCCTGTATTTTTTGATCAAATAAATGTAGCCTTGATGAGCAGAAGAAACTCCTTTAAAAAACATTAAACATTTTCTGTTCCCAAACTTTTGAACGGTAGTGTATATATATATATATACAGTGGGTATAGAAAATAATCACCCCCTTTAAAATAATCAAATTTTGTTGCTTTGCAGCCTGAAATGAAGATGGACAGTGTTTGTTTTGTCCAGCTGTATTTAATAAAAAAATAATAATAATAAATACTTGAAATTAACTAAATGTAATAAAATGATATATATATATATATATATATAGATATATATATATATATAACATTTTATTTCAATTACTTGAATGGGCAACATTTCTCATTACAATAAACTTGACTTGATGTCAAAGCAACATTTCTCATTTTTGTTTAGTTGAACCAATAAAATAACTAAAATTGAAATTAAAATGAATTATAACTATATATTTAAAACAATGAATGGAATAAAAATGACAAAATTACTTAAACAAATTACTTTAATTAAAATGAAAATAGAAAATATGAAGGAAAAAAACCTATAATAGTATATCAGTGAAAATAACACCAAATGCACAAAAATATATTTTATTTTGAGTGATTTTTGTATCATGTTTAAGTACGTGTCAGCCATATTGACAAAGATTATTAATGTTGTGTTCAAAGGGGCCCGTTATCGGTTTCCTCCTTGATCTCAAAGCAGATGTCCTTGTATCGATCTAATTGATGCTGCCTGTTGTCCAGGAGGAATGACACGGGAATGATTGATTCTGTTCTCCTTTCAGAGCCGATGGACTGATTGATGTGTGCGCTGTCAAACCCTTCGCTAATACGCCTTATCATTCGCTATTCCACATGCATTACATGCAAACCGCCACGTTTTTAAGGTTAAGTGTTGGTAGGCCAGATTCCGATCAAGTACAAGCCTTCCTTTTTTTAATTTCCTCCTGTCTCCCTTCATCCGTGTTGCAGATGAGCAGATTGCATGCTAATGCAGGGGCTGGAGGTGTTCTTCACAAGTGTCCGCTTGGACGGCCGCCACTGCTCGGGGACAGAGAGTCTGGATGATTCACAATCCTTCGGCACTGTGGTTATTCTCTTCAATTAATTGGTCCACTTAGGGCCACTTCACTCCAGTCCTGATTGTGGAGAGTGAAGCTCCTCGTTTTGGTCTCTGGAGCTTCTTGTCTAATACCGTCTGATGTCAGGATACTATGGCATGGAGTTGAAATTTCTGTAGATTGCAGTTTTTGGATTATAGGATTACAAACTGGCATTATGGTGTTCATAAATTGATTATATATATATGAAACGTATAGTTCCAACTCTAAAATTGGATCCGCTGCATTTGAAATCTTGCACCAAGTTGCTACATTGTCTGAAAACTCTAATCAGCTAGATGAGCACTTGGCAAAAGATTTGTTTATTGTGAATAATGTCATGAATAGGTGATATAAATAAAAAAAAATTATAACCTTAATTGTTCATTTTGCTTGATGCTTGAGTGCCCTTTACCATGTTAAACTCACAGTAAAAAAAATTCGTGGAATGTTGCTTTGAGTATTTTCTTGTGTATCGAAGAAAACCTAAAGACTGGTAATTACATTGACCTTTTTGTCATCCTGTGCTGAGGACATTTAGTTGGACGGTTATATTCAGACATATTTGGTTGGTTTTGCCCTTGTCTTTTGTATATTTGATATCAGTTCGGCCCAGAATGCAGCGCTGCAGTTTTCTCAGGGCTAAGTCATGTCAGCTGGCAGGCGTGCTTTATACGCTTAATATAACTCTCTGTAAGTCCTATCGGCAGGTTAATTGCATGTTAGCTGAAGGTTATTTTATTATGTTCCTCTTTTTCGTAGCGGCGTCTCCTCCACTGGAGATGAGAAGGACAGAGAGAGAGGGAAGTAGGGAAGGGGGAGGGCATGATTGTGAAATGCAATCCTATCTTAATCAGTGGCTGTGGGTCAACACTGGCTGTTAATGCAAGGCCTAATGGGAAACGTGCCTGTGGTCCTGTGGAGAAGATTGTGTGTCGTCCAGTGGAGTGGACTGGAGTGCTGCTGGCGAGGGGAAGTGGACCACAATCACGCCGTCTCTGACCCCCGTTGTTCTCTCCCTGCGGCAGATTGCGCCATTTCCCTGTCACCTTCATCAGCACTTCTTTGTTTTGTTTTTTTAGGAGTGATTTGTCCTCCTGTCTGTTCTCATGCTCTCCTTCTCTATCATATGGCTGTTAACCCACAATCTCTCATCCAGTGATCTGTTCAACAACCATCTAGTCACTTAAAAATGAATAGCTTTTTCAAAACAGGTTGTTCAGACTTGTAGCCTTTCTGGGTAACATTGGAGTATGGAGTATATGTGGTGTTAGTGCCTTTATGATAGTTTTTACAGAACGTACATACTTATGAAATGTTACTTTACAGGAACTGGGTTTTCAATAAATCCCTTTAAAGTTATTTTAGATGGTCTTTCTTTAGTAGGGAGTACCAGGATGAAAATACACCTAGTTATGCTACAACAGGTTTAAGTGAGATACGGTTCATTTGAATTGAATGTAATGTCCCTCTTTCTCTCTCTACAGTGCCGGGGCCTCCCTTTCTCTCTGTCAATCAAAACTCAGAGACTACTGCATTAGTACGCTGGCAACCCCCTGATTTCTTTGCTCCGGGTCTCGAGGTGCAGGGTTATCGGCTACAGTTCGGCCGAAAGGACGTGAGCCCCCTGGCCACGCTGGAGTTCGGCCCTAAGGAGCTGGAATATTCCATTAGCAATATCCACCGAGGGGCCACGTACATCTTCAAAGTGTCCGCCAAGACCAGATCAGGATTTGGCGACGAGGCTACCCGAGAACTAAAAGTCCCAGAAGAGGTTCCTCGAGGGTATCCTCAAATAATCGAAGGTTCTAACATTACCTGCTGCTCTCTCCAATTTGCCTGGTTGCCTCCGGTATTGGCAGAGCGCAACGGCGCTATAACAGAGTACACGCTGGCTTACCAGGAGGCCGGAACAGCCGGTGGACCCAAGGAACTGCGTCTGCCGGCAAGCGAGAACATCTACACCCTCAACAGCCTGAGGCCCAACGCAGTGTACGATGTGAAAATCCGAGCACACACCAGTGTAGGTCCAGGGCCCTACAGCCCACCGATCCAGTATCGAACAGTGGCCTACGAAGCAGGTACGGGTTGCTCATTTCCCCGCCTCAAGGGACAAACCTCTACAATGCAAGCACCTACACCCGATTATATAAAGTTCTCTGGGAGCCACATACCTCACTAACACCCTCCCCCACAACAAGGTAAAATAAGTCAGTAAGTTGAAGTCAGTCAGTTTTGAAAGGGGAGGAGCATCAATTTTTGCGAGGTAAGTGCCGATTGGTCAGACACGCCCAGCACATTCACTCATACAATCACAAAACTCCCCTAGTATTTCAAGGTAGGCGAGAACCACGTCAAGGAGATCCCAGATCTGAAGTCGAATCAGGCACATTTGTTTATTTTGTTTGGGTTTTCTTTTGAATTTATTTTTATTTTTTTTGTTTAACAGTTCCTCTTTTCTGTACTCACCTTTCCCCCCACTCCCACACTGGGATGATTTGCAGCATGGCGTCCCATGATGCACTGCTAACAAGTGTGGGCATGACAACTGTGTTTGGGGTTTGTCCTCGTTCCTGCCGGGCTTTCTGCCATGGCAGTGCCTATCCAAATTCAAGAACACGCAACAGTGGGTTACTCAAACATAATGTGGGTTCAACTATTCTGGAATCGTTCAGGGGGGATTATGGGAACTGCTTGCCAAATGTTCTTGTTGGGGCGGCACTGCCGGGCCAGGGCAGGCAGAGTACTGTGCGATCCTGTGGTTCTGTGTTCACCAGTCCAGTCTAGCGTGCTGTTTGTCCCAACTGAGCGCCTCCCCCCCTCCCCTTCACAGCTAACTCCACACACCGCTCACTCAGAGGGACCAAAGCTCCTCTCCTTTGGGGGAAAACTGGTCGCAAGCATCGAACACTCTGTCATTCTTCTTTCCCTTCAGTCTTGTTGTACTTTTTCCATTTCTGAAGTGTCTTTCTCAATTTGTTTCCTCCATTCACCTCTGGACAGATGTTCCTAAGAACTTCACCGTGAAGCTGGTCACCAAAACTACGGTACTGCTGACCTGGAGGTTTTCCGATAGCCGCTTCCCATACCGCTGTATGGTAAGCAAGCTAATGAATCCTGTTTTGTTCATAAAATATCAACATTATTGCAAGGATCTGACTTAATTCATGATGTTTTTATGAACAATTGATCAATGCACATTGGTCCACAGATTGAGTACCACCGGCAGAAGGTTGACATTGACGCTAGGATGACCAAAGCTCTCATCACCAACTTGCGACCCAACAGCACCTATGAGTTCAGAATCACCTGCCAGGAAAGCAGCGACGGTGGACCCAAACACAAGCTCATCGCACGAACGGCACCACCTATTCTGGTCCGAAAGCCAGAGTTGGACCTGAAAAGAGAGCCGGACAGCACGCTGACCATTGTCTTCCCACTGCTGGAATCCAAAGAGTTGATAAAGTGAGGAAAACCAAGTGCCGTTCTAAGCCAAAAACGCATTCTACACAAGCATGCGAATGCAGACACAAGCAAATTAGAAACGTGGGGGTCCTTTAAAAGTGTCAATGTTGGAGCCATGACAAAAAACTGTAGAAGACAGTTTGCGCTATTGTTTGCTATAGTGCCCCTTGTGGCCATACTGAGAATGCAGTACATACGTAAGAACTGCATTTTCTGCTTGTGTTTTGAAAAGCAACTTCAAGCTTGCTTAGCTTTAAACATCTGCATTTGCATTCTTGTGAAGGGAATTTTTCAGGTTTTGTTGGAAATTGTGTAGCTAGATGTTCCGATTTTTATGCTCACGGTACAGAAAAATAATCACATTTGCTGAATAGGCAGTTATTTAACTATTTGTAATGGTTTTATGCACCATCTCGACCTCTTGCAGGGCGGTCTATGTTGTGGTGGTTCCTCTGAAGAAGGGAAGAGTTCCGATCCGACACATCAAGACCCCAGATGAACTGGACCTAGAAGAGGTGAACATAGCTTCTTTTCTCAAGTCTTTGTCCTTGTGTCGCAGACACAGTGGAGCCAAAGCCATGGAAAGTGTTCTCGCAGGAGCATTGTGGGAACTTTCCCAAGGTGTTTTTCAGGGAGAGGGGACAATTACACAGCTCTCATCCTTACCTGCTGGCAAACTGCCAAGCTTAGCCACTTGACCTTGAGCTGTGAATGGCGAATGGGTGCCTGTATTCTGTTTAAGTGTTATTTGACTTGGTGAATGTTTGAGTAAATAACCCATTTTGTTTAGCACCACTGTATAAGCCGCTAACTGTTTGATAGTTTGAAAGTTTTGGTTGTGTTCCCAGAAGAATCAAACAGAATATGCTGTGTTTTAGAAGTTGATTTCAGTTCTTCTTAAGCAGTCTTCTCTCCCACAGCTGCTGGGCAACAGAAGACTCGGTCAACGTCACGCTCGAACCACCCGTCAGCTCAAGCAGGTGGACGGGAAGCGGCCCTACATCGCTGCCAGCTTCAAGCCCTCATCCATGCCGCCGTCCTTCACCCTGGGCAACCAGATGGTGTACAGTGGCTTTGAAAATAGGGCTCTGGACCCCGGGCAGGAATATGTGTTCTTTATCCTCGCCGAGCTCAACACCACCGGAGGGGTGAGTGAAATTTAAGGAAAAGCCTTTTTAATTTGAGTTTTAAGATTCCTCCAAAGTGGTGAACGCAGATAGCTATAACCTTTCTTTGCTTTTGTGCAGAAATCATTTGTGTCCAGTCCCTACACGGATCCAGTCACGGCTCCTGACGTGGACCCTCAGCCCGTGGAGACGGGAGGGGATGGACTCATCTGGGTGGTGGGGCCCGTTCTCGCTGTGGTCTTCATAATCTGTATTGTGATCGCGATTCTCCTCTACAAGAAGTGAGTGGACTTTTGAAATGCTAATAAATATAAACTTTTTAGATTGTACCATTTACACGACCACTCAAAATGAGAACTAATTTAAGCGTCTCATTATCTTTAATGCTTGAAATTTGTAGATAAATAAAAGTTGTGCCTACATATAGATATAGATCTTCACAAAAATTATATATTATATTATATAAATGTCTTTGTAAAACGTTTTAATTAAAAACAACATAAATCTGTATTATATGTATTGTTTTATAAAAAAGTTATTAAAATTAAAATAAATAATATAATAAATTTCTATATTGAAAAGTTTTGTAAAGATATTTATAATTATAATTTACATATTAATATGATATAATTTAGTAATACATTTCAGTTTCAATTACAATAAATGTAAATCTAATAAAATTGAAAGCAAATGTAATAAAATACTATAGATTTTTATTATTAATTAAAGTGTTTTGTAAAGACATATATATATATATTTATATATAAATTATAATTATAAATGTCTTTACAAAACATTTTAATTAAAAATAATATAAATATAAAATACTGTGTTGTTATATTGTTTTATCAAATAGTTTTATTAAAAGTTATACATTTTTATAGAATATATTATTATATTAATTAAAATATTTGGTAAAGACATTTATAATGTGTATATTAATATAATGTATTTATAAATTTCTCTTTCTGAACCAATAAAATTAAATCTAATAAAAGTGAAAGTAAATATAATAAAATACTATAGTTTGTTTTTATTCATTAAAACTGTTTGTAAAGACATTTATTAATATCATATTTTTATTAATACAATTTAATTATAAATGTAAGTTTTGGTAACTATAAATTCAAAATTAGCGCCTCTAGAGCCAGGTTAAAAGTGGACAACTCCTGGCTAGTATTTCCTCCCCCGGCAGGACCTTGACTTTGACCTCTGGTGTCTGGAGATCGTATAGCCCCCCGGTGGGCACAAACACACATTTACAGGTCTGTCCAAATGCAGATGAGCTAATCTGGCTCCGCTAGCCTGCCCTGTGAATTTAAATGTACTCTATTGATTTTTTTCCCTTGTTCTCTTGTTGTGTTTTCTCCCTTTTATATATTTATTTCACTTCAATGCTTTCTTTGGAAGTAGCAAGCCTGACAGGTAAGGCTTAGCTGTACTTTATTGCTGTTTTCAAGGGGGCAAAAGAAAACAACCTGCCTCAGCATAAAAGCAACTTTTAATTAGATGGCAGAGAAAAACGGGTTCAACCAATGTGCCCCTCGGCTGTGGTGTTTGTGGACATAGCTTTGTTTGTGCTAGCATCTAGCTTCCTCATTTATAGACTATAAACCATGTTTTCTGCACTGATAAATACTGATAAACAATTAAAAGATTTTTGTGCAGTGTGCAAAGATTTTTATTAATACCTTTAAATAGTATCTAGTTAGAGTTTGTCTGTGTGCATGTATTTGCATCATAATGTTATTTTTTCAACAAAACAAAAATATTTTCATATTTTGTATTAATGTATTAATTTTATATATTTATTTTTAAGTTCAAGTGTGTGGCACTAATTGAATCAGTCAAATTGATTGATGAATCATTCTAAATCAGGAGTCATTGATCTGAATCATGAACTGAATCGATCAGTTGGTGGTCGGGTGGTCATTTTGTGCACTTATGATTTGATTTACTTGTTCTTTTTCTGTCTCGTTTGTTAGATTTCATTTCATCCTTGCATTTTTCTTTCCTTTTTTAAAGCAGCAAACGTAAAGAGTCAGAGCCACGGACGAAATGTATGCTGAACAACGCCGATATCACCCCTCACCATCCCACAGACCCGGTGGAGATGAGACGAATCAACTTCCAAACCGCAGGTATATCCATGTGAACAAACAGCCTTAATCACTTTAAACATGAACTTTTCTCTGGTTCATCTCACGAAACCTGTCAAGACCATGTCATATTTATTTTTAGGTCATATTATAGAAAATAGAGCTTTTTTTGAATTTCAGCATTATTTTCTTATCATCCTTCAGATTCTCCTTTCAAACATGCACTTTGAAGTGCGGAAGAGTGACATAAATAGTCAATTAACTGTCAGTTTCAGGCGTGCCTGCTGTTATTTCTAATTAGTGTCTTTACTGATGCAGTTTATTAGTTAATAATTGCATACAGCCTGTCAGTCATCTTTATTTTATATTTGGTTCATGGTTTTGAACGTCCAAGCAGTTTCAGAGACGTTTTTGCCATTGCCGTCCTCTTCTCGTTCTAAAGCAGACAATCTTTTGTTTTGTATAAATCCTTCAGTTCAAAGACTTAATTTTTGCCAGCTTTGAATGCTAAACCTAGGCTTTTAAGATTGACTTTTAAGATTTACATAGATTTGGGAGATGGAAAAGCCAGACAATGTCTATTATATATATAAATCAATGCACCAAGGAAGGAATTTAAATTTTTTTTAAATTAAATTATTTTAATGTTGTAACTTTCGACTATAATAATGATTTATATTAATGTTTAATATTATTATTTATTTTTGTTGATACAGATAACCGATAATAATTGTTGTTTTTCTAATTAAATATTTATATATTTATTTCTATTGCCTGTATACAGTCACCAATATATTATGCATTCCTATTTATAATGCGAATTATAATTAATCCTGAATTATAATGCTTATAATTACTAATAACCGATAAATACAGATAGCTGCTAATTATATCTGTTCCATTTTTTAAAAATATTTATTTATTTATTTCCATTGGCTGTATAATGTCACCAATATATTATGCATTCATATTTATAATGCTAATTATAATATTAATCCTGAATTATAGTGCTAATAATCACATCTAACTGATAAATGCAGATATCCGATAATTATGTCTATGCTGTTTTTTTAAATGTACTTATGTATGTATGTATTTATTTATATTGGCTGTATAAGTCACCAATATATTATGCATTCCTATTTATAATGCTAATTATAAAATTAATCCTGAATTATAATGCTTATAATCACATCTAACTGATAAATGCAGATAACCTATAATTATGTTTATTCTGTTTTTTTAATGTATTTATTTATTTATATTGGCTGTATAAGTCACCAATATATTATGCATTCCTATTTACAATCCTAATTAAAATATTAATCCTGAATTATAATGCTTATAATCACATCTAGCCGATAACCGATAATTATGTCTATGCTGGTTTTTGAAATGTACTTATTTATTTATTTATATTGGCTGTATAAGGTCACCAATATATTATGCATTCCTATTTACAATCCTATTTAACATATTAATCCTGAATTATAATGCTAATCATAATTACAGATAACCAATAAATACTGAAAACAGACACTGAACTTCCAAGCAGCTTCCGAAATGTTTTTGCCGTCGCCGTCTCATTCTAAAGCAGACAATCTTTTGTCTCGATCAAATCCTCCAGTTCAAAGTGTCTTCATTTTCGCCAGCTTTGCACGCTAAACCTAGCCGGACATTTTTCTGCGGCTCCTTGAAGTGGCGCGGAGTGAATTTGTCGACAGCGTCTCTCTCTTGTCCATTCTCCCCATCAAACAGCTCTCATTTCAAAGGCGGTAATCTCAGCGCGGCCGCCCGAGGAGGTCATAACGCCGAGAGCTGTCCTTCTTCAGCCCAGATAAAACGAGAGCCAGCTGAGAAATGGAGGTGGAGAACGCAAGAAAGCCACTATCACCACCTCATTTCCCATAATCATCTGTCCATTGTGGGGCATCTTGTCCGGCAGCCGCCTAATAACACATCTGAAATGAGCCCGGCACACTTTCATCTTATTTCTCGCCTCTTTCGTCCGCTTCAACACTATAAAGAGGCTCGCCTCCTTAAAGCCATTTGGACTTTATTAATTGAGGAGCGTTCAATTTGCGACGCGACGTTGTTCTTTTTAAGCGTTAGGTGTCATTATCTCTTTGCTTGGTGAATTTTCATTTAAGTGGACATTTTAGCCCAATTAACTGGGACGGGGAAACATTTGCGACATTTCCATTAGCTAATAGGGGCCATTGTTCAAAGCAGCACACTTGAGTTCACATGGATGACTGGCACATATGGCGCACAACTTATCCTAATGAGACGAGACGCTGACATTCGGTTTGTTTCGTAACACGTTTAGGGTCAGGTTCTGCTCAATCCTTCTGTGTCCACTTCAGTATGTTAGAAAACAAACATATTTATTAGCAAACTGTTTAATGAGACATGTTCACAAACATTCACGGTTTTTCCAGGCCCGTGATTAATTTTGTCTGTAAATAGAAGGTTTGTATTCCTTGCCCCCATCCTATTTAGTTATTTTTTAGGCTGCTGTCTAAAATCTTGCCACAATTCACTGTTTATTTTTTTTGTTTATCGATTTCTTCATTCTGATTTACTTAGAAATAAATCATATTATGGAAGAATAATTGCTTTTATATTGACTTTTAAGATTTACATAGATTTGAGAGGCTTAAGAGTTAAACAATATTTTAAAATCATACACCGTCTAGAAGCGATGCATCTATGCACCTAATTTTAAATTGATAACTGATAATTGTTAATAATTGTTTTTAATATTAATTTTTAATTATTTTTGTTAATTGTTACCAAAAAAATCTGTTATTTTAATTAATGACTGGCATAATGATTTATATTAAAGTTTAATAATATTATTTATTTTTGCAGATACAGATAACCGATAATTATAATTATTGTTTTTATTCATTCTATTGGCTGTGTATGGTCACCAATATACTATGCATTCCTATTTATATTTATAAAGCTTACAATTATACACAACCGATAAATATAAATAACCGATAATTATCTCTATGCCGTTTTAATTATTTATTTATTTCTATTGGCTGTATATGGTCACCAATATATTATGCATACCTATTTATAATGCTAATTATAATATTAATCCTGAATTATAAGGCTTGCAATCACACACAACCGATAAATACAGATAACCAATAATTATATCTATGCTGTTTTTTATTTATTTTTATATTATTTGATTTTGTACATGGTCCCCAATATATTATGCATACCTATTTATAAGGCTAATTATAATATTAATCCTTAATTGTAATGCTAGTAATAATTTCAGATATCTGGAAAAAATTAAGATAACCGATAATTATCTTTTTTTAATCATTTAGTTATTTTGATTAACAGCCATTATCTTAGCCAACATAAAGCATTAAAAGTATATTGTGACTTTTGTTCTCAAAACCACTGCTAATTCCAATGCTTATTCAGACCTGATCCACTCGCTAGCATGTTAATCTAGGTGTCGTGTGCCGAAAGTCATCACAGATGGTTCAGACCTCGACAACAGAAGCTAAAGACACTCCTCATGCGTTCACGCTTCAGACAGCTGGACAAACGTCAAGCGCTAAACTCTTGACCGTATGTCTTTTTACTGCACGATCGACGCCGCCATCTGATATTTTGAGGATTTATTCTTTAAAAAACTAGCATGGAATTTGACGTGAATATTTGCGGTATAAACGGTATCTCCAGCGGTTCACGAATGTCTCATGAACATCAGCGGCTGTGATGTTGGATGAAGGACGGCTGATGTGTGAGTGAATGTCCTACTTTCAGCGTCTGACAGACAGCTTGGCGTCGGATCCAACGGCGAGGACCCTCGTGAGGATTACTACCTTCATTCAAACCAAGGGTGGTCTGTTCTCCTGCCTGGTTAAAAATGCACAATATAGTCTGAAAAATTAATTGGAGGGAGAAAACGCATGAAGGAGAAGTTCTATTTTCTGCTTATTAATTTCCTTGCATTTATCTTGTTTTCCCATTTCTTTCAGTCCATTTCAAGATTTTGTTCTCAACTAATGATCAGTACATTCAAAGAGGGATGCTTTTATTTTATTTTTTTGCTGTTTGCTGTTTTTCACAGATTCGGGTCTAAGCAGTCCTGTCAGTGAAGCCGGTTTTGACTATGAAAGTTAGTGCTCATATCTCGCACTGAGCTTTGGTGTTTTTTTATCATTTTTTAACGCGTCTGCCCCACATCCGGAATAATGGGTTGTGTTTTCCGACTACATTTGCATATGACTCCCCCCACCCCACCCCTCCACACACACACACACACACACAAACTGCCGGAGCTGCGCTAATTCTCACTCCTGTAACCCTGGGAAAGTTAAAAGGAGTCGTAATTCAAATGAAATCTAAAACTAAATCTCATTAGCCATTGCTTTTCCTATATGAGGTGCATAATTTAGGATAAAATCAAGTATTTTTTGGCTTAAAAGACATCATGTTAGCCAACATCATGTTTTGTTTTTAAATGTAAGATGGCCATATTTAAACTTAAACTGAAATAAAAAAGTTTTATAATTATAATTAATGAATATCTTAACATTTCAATAAATAAGTAATTGTTAATATTGTTTTTAAATAATAGTTATTTTTAATAATTAACATTTTTAATAAAAAATATATAAATAACATTTCTACAGATAACACAGTGATTTATATCTCTATTATGTTTCCAAGTCCTATAATCAATATCTTAATAATATCTTAGTATTTTAATATTAATATCTTAAAACAATAAAACAATTATTATGTTAGTGGTTTTAATATTATTTTAGAATTACTTAATTTTAATAATTATTACATTTTTTAATGTTTAAATTAATTAAATGTTTTTTTTACTGATAACAAACATCATTTATATTAATGTTTAATATTATTTATTTTTATGGATACAGATAACTTAATAATTATAGTTAATTATAGTTAAGTTATTAACTTAATAACAGATAATTATCTCTATGCTGTTTTTTTATTTATATTGATTTATATATTATTCGTTCCTATTTATATTGCTAAGTATATTAATATATTTAATAACTGTATACACAAAAGGCATTACAAATATAAGCAAACAGTGTGATTGCAGTTTTCCTAGACATTTGTTCTGCATTATGCATCTCTGGGAAGTTAAAATGCAAATGCGGTTTACGGTTTTATCTTAATTATGACAGCTTTTAACTTGCATTCGTAACACGGCTTTTCTTTTTTGGTTTTTTTCTGTTTATACTTCTGCTTGTTGATTGCTTTGTTCTCACCGGCTGTTGGCTGCACACTATTAATCCACAGTAAAAGCAGCTGATCATGTAGAGACTGCTCTGCTGTATGATTTTTACATAAGTCTCCACACATTCCAGCATCCTGTCCATTCAGACCCCCATTCCTCTCTCCACCGATGGGGTCGTTCTGCAGGCGGAGATAACGAGCTGAATTAATTAAACCCTCTCCAAACAATAGTCCGACATTTGATACATTCCCTCCTGCCCCCCAGCAAGACAGAGGAACGAGAAACACGACTCCCTTTTTTGTTTTTATGGGGAAATATACTGAGTGCTTTTCCTTTTATATGTAAATGAACAATCGCATAAAATTGTTTCTCAAACAGCGGCAGCGGATATCAAAAGGATTTGTTATTTGCATCACCTGTTAAGCTCAAATAAGAGACTGAAAATATGTAATTAGACAGTTTGCATCTCTCATGCTCACTGATCTTGGGCTTGATTGCATGGGATAAAAAGACTGCAGTGGAGAGAGAGAGAGACACAGAAATCCTGGCCGAGAGAGCAGACAGGAAATGAACAGCAACAGGAATTTGTCCTTGAAAGAGTTTATATCCTATTGGACCTCGCTTAGACTTTCTAGCGTGTTTCGCATAAATACTTGAAACTCAATGTAGTTAATTATAAAAACTGATGAGGTCCTGCACATAAAGCCACTTTTGTAACGTGTATTTAGTGCTTTCATCTGCCACAGAAAGGTAACGTCTTGGATAATCTTCATTTGGAGGCTTTTTACGGTAAATGTCGATGTGCAGTTATTTGTCACAAAGTTTACTGGGAAAGTTTTGATAACCAAAAAACCTTGTCATCTGCAGAGGTTAAAGCATTTTTTGCACCCCGATCGGATTAAATGTAATTGTTTCTTACATCTTGCAGAGAGAAAATTCCTAAGAACAAACAAATAACAGCTTATTCATGAACACGAGTAATTGTTGTTAACACAGAGCAAAGTTGAGGAATGCGTTGACATTGAGAAGCGCTAATCTTCCAAGTTTGTTGGGTTTTGATTGGCTCTAGATGGCCTTTCTCATTGCATTATGAAGGCTGTTAGTGTTTAGCATGCAGGTCTGATCTCAGGTTGTTTGCCAAAGTTGCCCTTCACATCTTTTTCGAGAGTGCTTTGGCATATATTACCTTGGTTCACCTCAAGAGGGTAAAACTGCGTCCAGACTATCTCCAAGAGCTTGGCCAGGCTGACGAGGATAACATTTGTGGAGTAAGAAAACTGTTAGCCTCCAGGCAGTGGATGAGAAAAAACTGTTATTAGCATAGTTTGATTGGCTCTGTTTTGCATGGAAGTCTGAAAACTAACAGCTAGAACTTTTTCGAGGCGTCTTGAGTGGCATTCGCGTCGTTTTTTGTCATAATGTCAAATTAGCAAGTGTCCTTTCTCAATCAAAGCCAAACCATTTCGTACAACATTACGAGAAGAAAAAAAACTGGAAGGGAAATTGAGGATGGCTAATGTGATTATGCAGATTATCCATGCTTAATTAAATCACAGTACTCTTCAAGGAAGAGTCAACATTTATCCAGCTTTTGACCTCGCATTGAAGAAAGTCCAATGCTCTATATAAAAATGTTGCCGTCCATTTTAGGAAGAGCTTGTTGACGATATGTCTGTTTTCTGCCATAATACATTACTAATTCATAACTGGATAAACTCAACAGCGAGAGACCTAGAAAGTTGTTAGTCTGAGCAAACAGCAAAACTAGTGCTTGTTTGAGGAAAGGTCTTGTAGGTTGTTGCAGGGTTAGCATGGGCGACTGCTTCCGTGACATGCTTGCTTAGCTTTGGCTGAACTGAAGCAGAGAACACAGCACTGCACTTTGCACCGGTACCATCGGGTCATTTTAACCCAGGCCAGAACTCTCAAATAAACCCCCTACCTTACCCTGATTACCCCCATCATCTCCCCTCCACCTCAAGAGCTTTATTTCCCATTATTGCGCAAATGAAGGATTACATAAGGAAATTATTGCAAGCTCCTGCCAAAAGGAAAGCTGTTAGAAATATTAAGGCTAGAGGTTTACTCCAGGGAAAGGCAATATTGTATTTTTCTACCTCTCGCTCACTCATATTTTTCGTGTTTAGTGTGGAAGCATTCCAGTTTTTCCCCCCAGAGCAGCAAGACAAAGAGAGCAAGAATTCCATATTTTGGTTATGTGCAAGACGACATGCAAATGAGTCTGGTTATGAAGCCTAGCATAAAATACAAGACAGAACCTTGTGTCCTTTTGTGCTCAAGTCTACTGGCCAACAGTCCCTGAATGCCAGAACTGCCTACTTCACAGGTTTACGGAGCAATCTTGATCCTGGAGGGCCAATTTCTTGAGAAGTTTTGCTGCAACACACCTGCCTAGAAGTTTCTAGTGATCCTGAAGACCTTGATTAGCAGGTTCAGGTTAGTTAAATTTGGGATTAAGCTAAGTAGGTGGCCCTCCAGGAGCAGGATTGGACACCCCTGGTTTAGGGTAACGTAGGGTTAACCCTGCATAAGGAAACCTGATACCATTCTCCTATTCCAGACACAATGTACATAGCTTCAAAATTGTAGTGTGCTTTTGGCCTTTTGTCCCGCCTTGGGGAAATAGAAGTTTTCAGATTTTGCATTTGATTAAATCTATTACGTTTCAGCTCTGCAGACGTGAACATATTTCTCAAGGGCAGATCTTGGGGTTTGTTTCAATTTATTGTTCCCGTGACTCAGTTTGAAAGGAGATTTTCTTGGTTTCATGAAGGCAATCAAGCGCATTATTCCCCTTGTCTTAGCCTGCTGAGGACAAATGTATGGTTTGTCTTACCAACCAAGTATATGAAGTGTCCTCCTGCTTGTCGTTTTTAGCTACAGCGGAGTGAGAAAGAAGAGATTTCATTGCTGTGGCAATGTTGCAAAGCTATTAGGAACCATTTGACCCGCTATCATTTTTGTAATTGGTCTGGGGGTTTTGCAGCACCTTAGCAATCATCCTTAGGTCTTTTCCTTCATATTGTCTGTATAAATGTATCCAGTTTTTTGTATTAGGACAATCCTGATTGGTCCGATTGATAATGTAGAGCTCTGGCCTGGTCACACTGTGTCTCTAACATCACCTACTGTTCCTCACTCCAGTCCCCACCTCATTGTCTCACCTGCTTGGGTGTCTTCCCCTACCCCTAATCCCATTTTTTCCACCAACTTTTGGGATTTGGCTTCTGACTAGTGTTGTCAAAATCGGTACTGACATTTTTTAAATCTGACAATGCAAGCATTTTAATTCTCAAACAACTCTGATTGGCCATTGTGTTCATATGCTGAACAGCTATGTCTGTGATTGGCTACAGTGTTTGAGAATCCACACAGCAGCGCTCAAAATGCTAGCGGGAAATGCTGGTATCGTCACATTTTTCAAATTTCAGTTCTGACTGGTACCGACATCGGTACTTTTGACAACACTACTTCTAACTGTCTGTCTTGGCCCGTTGGTCTTTCTGACCTTTTCTTTCTGTGTCTTCTCCTGATTGGTGCACAGGTATGATGAACCACCCGCCGATACCCATCTCTGAGCTAGCCGAGCACACGGAGCTACTAAAGGCCAATGACAACCTGAAGCTCTCCCAGGAGTATGAGGTACTGCATATTATACAGAAATACCATTTTATGTTACGAATAGGATTGTTAGCCATTTCAAAAGACAAGTGGGTTTTCCTGCAAAACAAATGGCAATTAATTGTTTTCAACATTTGCATGGCAGTTACTCAAGTGCCATGAGGTTTTGCAGTGGCACGGATGTCTTGGTTTGAAGTGTTGGCCTCGTAAGCGTAGCGGCTGCTGATTAGCCTTTGCTATTGCTGAATCAGCCTTCATCTGCATAGAGCAAATGTCGTCGTCCATCTTAAATCACAGCGTGCTACGGCAGCACTGCAATCATCACCCCTGGGGCTTAATGCCATCTTAAATGGCTCCCAGCGTGAGCCAGACCTGATATCTCAGCAGGAACATGGGCATGCTTGAGTTGAGCCAACACACTATCATTTTTGGGACATTGGCTTAGCATATAGGGTACTGACATTTTTTAAATCTGACAATGCAAGCATTTTAATTCTCAAACTACTCTGATTGGCCTCTGAATGCTGGTATCGTCACATTTTTCAAATTTCAGTTCTGACTGGTACCGACATCGGTACTTTTGACAACACTACTTCTAACTGTCTGTCTTGGCCCGTTGGTCTTTCTGACCTTTTCTTTCTGTGTCTTCTCCTGATTGGTGCACAGGTATGATGAACCACCCGCCGATACCCATCTCTGAGCTAGCCGAGCACACGGAGCTACTAAAGGCCAATGACAACCTGAAGCTCTCCCAGGAGTATGAGGTACTGCATATTATACAGAAATACCATTTTATGTTACGAATAGGATTGTTAGCCATTTCAAAAGACAAGTGGGTTTTCCTGCAAAACAAATGGCAATTAATTGTTGTCAACATTTGCATGGCAGTTACTCAAGTGCCATGAGGTTTTGCAGTGGCACGGATGTCTTGGTTTGAAGTGTTGGCCTCGTAAGCGTAGCGGCTGCTGATTAGCCTTTGCTATTGCTGAATCAGCCTTCATCTGCATAGAGCAAATGTCGTCGTCCATCTTAAATCACAGCGTGCTACGGCAGCACTGCAATCATCACCCCTGGGGCTTAATGCCATCTTAAATGGCTCCCAGCGTGAGCCAGACCTGATATCTCAGCAGGAACATGGGCATGCTTGAGTTGAGCCAACACACTATCATTTTTGGGACATTGGCTTAGCATATAGTTTAGCATTAGCTGCATATACTATCCAAATGAAGGAACATCATTCATAAACAGCTAAGCCTGAGTAGCAGATTGTTGAATAGTTTGTTTCTGACCTTAGCCATCTGCAAATAGGGAGACATCAATGGTATAATCAGGATCACCTTTGATAGTTTCAGAGTTACATAAATTGATAAAACAAATTTGATCCGCTCTGGCTTCGTGAATAAGAAGGGGGTCCATGAACCTTTTGAGGTTTACAATGGAACTGCAAGGCCTTCATGAAATAATGCAAATTAAATTATTAAAATTATGTATTACAGTAAAAATTTAATGAAATATATTAGTGTAATATTTTTAAATAAAATATTTTTATGAATTTAATGTAAATAAATTATTCAATTAAAATTGTTTTAATTAAATTTAAACTATTTTTTTAAATTGTGTAATTTTTAAGATAAATTGTGTAACATTAAATCACATTTTCTCTTACCTTACAGATTAAAAGGAGTCGTTGCATATTTTATTTTTCTTTGGAAAGCTTGAAAAAAATCCTTAAAGGGTTACTCCACCCCAAAATAAAAATGTTGTCATTAATCACTTACCCCCATTGTCGTTTCAAACCCATAAAAGCTTCGTTCATCTTCGGAACACAATTTAAGATATTTTGGATGAAAACCAGGAGGCTTGTGACTGTCCCATTGACTGCCAAGTAAATAACACTGAATAAAGTCGTTATTTTTGTTTTCTTTGCATACAAAAAGTATTCTCGTTGCTTCATAAAACTCAGATTGAACCACTGATGGCAGATGGACTATTTTGACGATGTCTTTCATACTTTTCTGGGCCTTGACAGTGTAATTTACTTGGCAGTCTATGGGACAGTCACAAGCCTCCCGGTTTTCATCCAAAATATCTTAAATTGTGTTCCGAAGACGAACAAAGCTTTTACTGGTTTGGAACGACATGGGGCTAGTGATTAATGACAAAATGTTCATTTTGGGGTGGAGTAACCCTTTAAACTCAAATACATAATTAAAATACATAATTTAGGTCAGCTGAGAAAAGTGTTTGGGAACTGCTGCTCTAGAAGAAAAAACTGGAATGAATGTAGTTTTTGATCATTTGATCATCATAGCATTCTAATAGTAGCTGTTAAATCAGTGAGTGATGTCTATGAAAAACTGGGCTAGAGAAGAGAAAAAAAGAAAAAATTGGAAGCTGATTTGAAGCAGATAAATGTGTTTGGCGCAAATGGTTTTGGTCAGATATGAGGATGTGGGTTGGGATTTATGCAGAAACATGCTGTGGATTACCAAACTCCTGATTATGTCATCATGCTTCCGTCCATACACAATCCTTTAGATCACATCACAGTGTGGCATTTGGCTTGGAGGAGAACCAAACCAATCCAAGCTGTGTCGGTCCCAAACCCAACCCACAGTCGGTTTGTAGGGTAGATGATAAGAGAGACGGGTTTGAGAGCACGGACAACCTGTGGAGGATCCATGCTCTGTTATTTGTGCCTGTAATCATCACGGGGTAAACAGTTACATCAAGCCCCTCATTGTGGGTTATCTAGTCCCAGTTTCAGCATGCAGAGATGGTCACCTAAATAAAAACATCCCTCAAGCTAGAAGAGCTGGGATGGAGCCATTGCCCGAGAACAGGCTCGGAATCATAATGGAATACTAAATTACCCCGACAGGGGAATAGAATATTTATTCAGAAATTCTCATATTGGGAATAATTCACCCCATCACAGGAAGGAACAGACTCTTTTATCAGCGTTTCCTTTGCTATTATTCACTGTCCACGACAAAGCTACCTGACCGAATGCTGGTGAATATTTAAACGATAGCAGACGGCTTTTAATTACACTTTAATGTGCGGCTGTGATTGCAGCAGGAGGACTTTTATCTTGTTGTGAATGTTTATCCAAGCTGCTTTTTGCTGGATCCTCAATTCGCTAGTTTCCGTTAGTTTTAGTCCTCCCAGGCTCCGTGGCCTCACTCAACCCTGCTTTCTGAGTGTTGAACTCTCTTCTGTTTCTCTACCTTCTTCTGATGTTCTAGCAGATGTAAACTCACTCTCTTCTCATATTAGCATTCATGCCAGTGATGCTGAGGGATTGGGAAAAGCCCTGAGGGTTGCTTCACTCCGTTTTCTCTTTCCACAGTCCATCGATCCGGGTCAGCAGTTCACCTGGGAGCATTCCAACCTGGAGGTCAACAAACCCAAGAACCGCTACGCCAACGTCATCGCCTACGACCACTCCCGCATAATCCTGGCACCCATCGAAGGTTGGCCAGAACTGCACACACACTGATTCTTTCAAAAAAAAAAAGCGTTGCATCTGAAGGTTCCAGAATGACTGAACTTTCTTGTCGCCCACAGATGCATCTGGCTTCAAAAAGGCTGTTTATTTGAAAAACCACTGATGGCAGATGGACTATTTTGACGATGTCTTTCATACTTTTCTGGGCCTTGACAGTGTAATTTACTTGGCAGTCTATGGGACAGTCACAAGCCTCCCGGTTTTCATCCAAAATATCTTAAATTGTGTTCCGAAGACGAACAAAGCTTTTACTGGTTTGGAACGACATGGGGCTAGTGATTAATGACAAAATGTTCATTTTGGGGTGGAGTAACCCTTTAAACTCAAATACATAATTAAAATACATAATTTAGGTCAGCTGAGAAAAGTGTTTGGGAACTGCTGCTCTAGAAGAAAAAACTGGAATGAATGTAGTTTTTGATCATCATAGTGTGTTAGCATTCTAATAGTAGCTGTTAAATCAGTGAGTGATGTCTATGAAAAACTGGGCTAGAGAAGAGAAAAAACATTAGAGTTGGAAGCTGATTTGAAGCAGATAAATGTGTTTGGCGCAAATGGTTTTGGTCAGATATGAGGATGTGGGTTGGGATTTATGCAGAAACATGCTGTGGATTACCAAACTCCTGATTATGTCATCATGCTTCCGTCCATACACAATCCTTTAGATCACATCACAGTGTGGCATTTGGCTTGGAGGAGAACCAAACCAATCCAAGCTGTGTCGGTCCCAAACCCAACCCACAGTCGGTTTGTAGGGTAGATGATAAGAGAGACGGGTTTGAGAGCACGGACAACCTGTGGAGGATCCATGCTCTGTTATTTGTGCCTGTAATCATCACGGGGTAAACAGTTACATCAAGCCCCTCATTGTGGGTTATCTAGTCCCAGTTTCAGCATGCAGAGATGGTCACCTAAATAAAAACATCCCTCAAGCTAGAAGAGCTGGGATGGAGCCATTGCCCGAGAACAGGCTCGGAATCATAATGGAATACTAAATTACCCCGACAGGGGAATAGAATATTTATTCAGAAATTCTCATATTGGGAATAATTCACCCCATCACAGGAAGGAACAGACTCTTTTATCAGCGTTTCCTTTGCTATTATTCACTGTCCACGACAAAGCTACCTGACCGAATGCTGGTGAATATTTAAACGATAGCAGACGGCTTTTAATTACACTTTAATGTGCGGCTGTGATTGCAGCAGGAGGACTTTTATCTTGTTGTGAATGTTTATCCAAGCTGCTTTTTGCTGGATCCTCAATTCGCTAGTTTCCGTTAGTTTTAGTCCTCCCAGGCTCCGTGGCCTCACTCAACCCTGCTTTCTGAGTGTTGAACTCTCTTCTGTTTCTCTACCTTCTTCTGATGTTCTAGCAGATGTAAACTCACTCTCTTCTCATATTAGCATTCATGCCAGTGATGCTGAGGGATTGGGAAAAGCCCTGAGGGTTGCTTCACTCCGTTTTCTCTTTCCACAGTCCATCGATCCGGGTCAGCAGTTCACCTGGGAGCATTCCAACCTGGAGGTCAACAAACCCAAGAACCGCTACGCCAACGTCATCGCCTACGACCACTCCCGCATAATCCTGGCACCCATCGAAGGTTGGCCAGAACTGCACACACACTGATTCTTTCAAAAAAAAAAAGCGTTGCATCTGAAGGTTCCAGAATGACTGAACTTTCTTGTCGCCCACAGATGCATCTGGCTTCAAAAAGGCTGTTTATTTGAAAAATGTATTTCAGTGCAAGGTCCTAAAACCTTATAGTGTTTATCCTGATTGATATATAAATCAATCAGCTTTCTTCCCTTCCCATGCAATTTTATTGTCTGCTCGTGCACATACAGGAAACTAGAGTCCGATAATTCAAAAGCAGCCGAAATTGCACAGCCATATCCTTTGGTTAAGGTATAGAAGCTGTCAAGATTTTGCAAGAAACAGTGGAAAATCAGCAGAGATTCTGCTGTAATGTTGGTAAAACGCCCATCTTTTTTCCATCCAGAGGCGACAATCCTCAATGCTCCTTTGTGCTGTTTACAGTTATCCCCCCCATCCCCCCCCCCCCCGATTTAGATGAGCAATAACGCAGCGTAACAGAATCATCACAAAGACAGCGCCCATAAATGCATAAATTAATCAAGTTCGAAATTTCCATTTTACAGTGCAGTGATTTCGCCATTAGACACAGCGGTGGAACAATTTGTGCAGGCAGCCGTTCTCTGTTCACTTAGCTATGACTAAAGCGTAACACTCCCGCGATCGCTTTGTGAGACGAGGAAGAGGCTTTTAATGGCATCCTTTTTTCCCCGATTGCTAATTTTGCTTATTTCTCCAACGTAGCGGGGGCTAGAAAATGAGCATAGCCACGTGTTTCATTGTTCGTTGTTAAGGCACAAAAACAACAATTTAGCACTGCGGGCCTGTGTTTGTGATTGAAGCTTTTGTGTTGGATAAACTGTACAATTAAATATGGCTCTCATAGGTTATTTGCCAGAGGCCCGAAGTGAACACGGACCCCGATTAAATTATAATTATAAGTGACTTGTTTCAGAGAATTAATAATAATAATAATAATAATTTTTATTTATATAGCGCCTTTCCAAAACCCAGGGTCACTTTACAAGTCAGGTTTAAGGAACAGAAACAGATAAACATCAAAACCAGAAGACAGAACACAAGAGCTGAGAGTAATATACAGAGACCACTTACAAAGTTAGATTAGAGATACATGAGAATGTAGATAAACATCCATAACAGGGTACAAATTACAGACTGAGAGCTGAAGAGTAATTGAAGCATTCCACAATCTGGGAGCCACAACACTGAAAGCTCTAGATCCCATAGTCACCAGACGAAACTTAGGGGTGACTAACAATCCCTCACTAGAAGATCGTAAGGAGCGGGCAGGAACATAAGGCAGAAGTAAATCAGATAAATATGTAGGACCAAGGTTATGGAGAGCTTTATAAGTGAGAATTAGTATCTTGTAATTTATGCCCAAAAAAAAAACGGAAGCCAATGAAGGTGATAGAGGATTGGGGTAATGTGATCGCTCTTTCTTCAAATCAAGCGAGCTGCAGAGTTATGAACATATTGTAGTCGTGTGATATTATTAGCTGACAGGCCATAAAGAAGTGAATTACAGTAATCTAGTTGAGATGTGACAAAGACATGTATAACAGTTTCAGCATCCTGCTGACTGAGAGAGGATCGAATACGCGAGATATTGCGCAGGTGGAAAAAAGCTGTCTTTACTACTTTACCAATGTGATCATTAAATGAAAGAGTGGAATCAATGAGAACACCAAGATTGCTAACTTTAGTGGAGGGCATAATCAGATTATCATCCAGATCCATCAGTTGACCAGAGAGTTTAGATACTACAGCTTTAGAGCCAATCAGAATTACCTCAGTTAAATTTAAGGTAATTTGCCTCCAGCCAAAACTTGAGTTCCTTGATGCAATTAGTTAATGCAGGTGGAGGAAACACTGAGGTGGAAGGTGCGCTAAAATAAATTTGGATGTCATCTGCATAACAGTGGAAGTTAAACCCATAGCGTTTAATTATTTGTCCAATTGGTAGCATATAAATGGTAAAGAGGAGAGGGCCCAAAACAGAACGTTGAGGTACACCACAACTGATAGATTTGGTAGATGATTTGTGTTTCTGGTTTATAACAAATTGTTGCCTCCCGGTCAAATAGGAGGAAAACCATTCAAGGGCTGTGCCAGAAATTCCAATTGCGGAAAGCCGGGAGAGGAGTATCTCATGACAAACAGTGTCAAAAGCTGAGCTGAGGTCTTAACAGCAGGAGAGTGCTGAGAGCACCAGAATCAGAAGCTAAGAGAAGATCATTAAGAACCTTAACCAGGGCTGTTTCAGTACTGTTTAATGGACGAAAGCCAGACTGGAAGGGCTCGTAGAGGTTGTGTGCTGTTAAGAAGGCCTGTAACTGGGAGGCAACAACTTTTTCTAATATCTTAGAGAGAAAAGATAAGTTTGAAATAGGCCTATAGCTACTTGGGGAAGAAGGCTCGAGACCATGCTTTTTAAGAACTGGAGTGACAGCAGCGATCTTAAGCTTTGATGGTACAGTTCCAGATGACATTGACGTATTAATGAAGTGAGTGATGGGTAGTGACAAAGCAGGCAAGCAATTCTTCAGTAAAGAGGTAGATGCAGGATCAAGAAGACTAGTAGAGGAATTAGACAGCCTGATTATCTCACCAACCTCTGTGGGGACAATAGAGTCCAAATTAGAGAAGCTATGAGCATGGCATAATGAGAGAAGTTCAGTAGTGGGAACAGAGGTTGACAGGTATGAGATGTTTTACTCTGAAAAACGTTCAGGAAAGCGTCACACATTTGATCAGGGCCGACTAGAGACTGTGTGGGTGGCTGTGTTAACTTTTTAATTGTAATAAATAATGTTCTAGGCCTGTTTTTGGACTTATCAATGAAAGTAGAGAAATAAGAGGATCGAGCCGCATTAAGAGCGTTCCTGTACTGCTTAATGTGTTGTTCAGGAGTGAACAATAAGGCCAGTTTTCTTATAAAGCCTTTCCAGCCGGCGGCCCTTGGTTTTCATTGCTCTAACCAAGGAGAAGTGTGCGAGGAAGGGACCTGTCTAGATTTTATGGGAGCAAAATTATTCAAAATAGTAGGTATAATTTCATCATAGACATTAAGAATCTCTTCAGCACTGGAAAGACTGCAGCAGTCAGAGAGGGAGGAATCAATGAGTGCAGCAGAAAATGACAGAGGACCAACCAACTTCCATGCACGATACTCAATCAAAGATTTAACAACAGGTTTTGGAATGTAAAAATGACAAAAAAAATTGTATCGGTTTATGATCAGAAATCCTATGTCAGAGCTTTTTAAGGCAGTAATGTCGATACCAGTAGAGGAGACCAAATCCAGTGTATGGCCATGTACATGAGTTGTAAAATCAATATGTTGCTGCAGATTAAAACAGTCAGGGACAGACATGAACTCAAGAGCATGAACAGTATCAGTATCAACCTGAATATTGAAATCCCCTAGTAATAGCATAGCTGTAGATTGGGCAGAAGCAATTGTCAACAATTCACGCAAGTCTCACAGAAATTGCATGCTTGTTTTAGGAGGACGATACACCAGTATTATGAGCAGTGAAGAGTGGCTAGTGATTTTAAATGCCAAATATTCAAACGATGTCACCTCATGGAAAAGAGACAGCTCAATAATGGCGCTTGCTCCTACCGGGGGATTTGAACAAACACCTAACCTTAAATATTGAACTTTGTTGTATAACGTGTCCCTCGCCATTTGTGCTATGTACACGAATGACACATCAAATCATGCAGGTCATTGAGGAGAGGTAATCAGACTTGTGGTAAATGATGAAATGGGTGAAAACCGTACACTACACTTATTTTGTATGAGAGTCAAATGTAATATATATTATTGATATATATAATACATATTAATTGTCTTGTAATTCATCAATACATTTCTTTGTCACATCCTGTAATTGGCTTGTTAAATCACCTCTATTATTAAGGTTATTATGAGAATTACATGTTGTTACTCAGACCAACACTAAACCCCTTTAAGGCCCAGATCCAGACCGGGAAGTAACCCTGAAGACCCTGAGATCCCAATTTCGAGAGCCAAGGCCATATTTATGTGATTTTGAGAGGTCTCATGACCTAGACCGCAAGATCGTTACCTCTAGCAGTGGCACACAAGGGCTTTACTTCTGTTCCCGCCGCCTCATGGATCCTGAGCTTAGGTGGGAGAATGTTTGGCTGCTTTATGGGAGATTTACTGCGGGCCGCCCAGAGCGATGGCAGAAAGAAAGCGAGACTGGGTCCGGCATGGGTTCTTATCACTGATTTACTCCTAGTCCAGCCTAATTCCATCGTATAGCATCTGGCCCTAAATCAGCTGCAGTGGATGCTTTTGGCCGGCCCTCAGAGAGCTAGTCAGGGCAGAAAACGCTGGAAGGAAGTGAGAAAAAGCTGCGAAGGGGCTTGATGGCTTTTCTTTCATGGGGATTATTTTCTATGATGGATATCTGTCACAAGCTCTGCAATAGCCTCTTTCCAGACTGTGACTGTATATCATGTTATTGGAGCAGCAAGTTTTTCACAAGTTTTTCACAAGACTCACACAGCAACATCAGCCATTTTGTAACTTCCTAGAAACAGGGGTATTAAACCACATTTTTGAAGTCAACAAGTAAAGTTATTTTCTTGCACCAAAAACATCTCAAATGTATTTTTTACAAGACTTTGTGCTACTATACCTTTAAGACTCTTTGCATGTGCAATGAGGGCCGTTATACATGTCAATTTATAAATCTGAACGTCATATTTTGATGATGTACTGATTTCTGTATCATAAACGTTGTGTTAGCTTTGTGTTATGTAGCATAGCATCAATCAAAATCCTGCTTTTTCATGATGCGTCCCTTTGAAAGTGAACATCTCTGTCATTCTGGCTCTAGCTCTCACAGTTACCAACCTACTTGCTTTGTTTCAAGGTATCACAGGCAGTGACTACATCAATGCTAACTACATTGACGGCTACAGGAAGCAGAATGCATACATAGCCACACAGGGGCCACTGCCAGAGACCTTCGGGGACTTCTGGAGAATGGTGTGGGAACAACGAGCCGCCACCGTGGTCATGATGACCAGACTAGAAGAGAAGTCAAGGGTGAGGCTAAACAAAAACAAATGTATTAATCTGGAATACTATACACAGGTGTCGCAAAAAAGTGCTACACAAGAAAATATTGAATTAGAATGTTGATCCTCTCAAGCATAAAAATGTGCAGTATACGTAAATATTCTGTAAAATGGTCCATTTTATATTAGGTAACTATTTATTGATACTTTACTGTATTGAATTAAATGGTTTGCATTGCATTCTGGGATTGTCTTCTCCGCAAAAGACACATGCAGCATTTCAGTTTTGCCAAAAGAAGGTATCTTACATTTAGAAACAACCTTAACATCTGGAGCGTGCCGGTGATGTCTTAAAATCCTGGGTAGCTAGGCAGCTCTCTAGGTTATGGAAGGGAGCTAATAGTCCCTAAGAATATAATAGGCCGTCTCTTTTAGCCTTGTTAAAAAGACTGAGCTTCATACTGAACAAATTTACATTATTCCATTTGAAATGCCATTGCCGGTTGAGTGGATGAGCAAAAATGAAGGAGGGAAATGGGACTTTCCTATAACAACTGGGAATCATCTCTCGGCTCTATCGGGGGGCAGTTCAGCCCATTTACCACAAAAAAAAAGAAGAGCGTGAGAGAAAGAGGAAGTTAAGAATCCCTCATCTTGAAGACTCCCTCAGCCGTGACGTCTGGAAGTTCATTGAAGACGATTCCGTCACACCCTAGACTGTCAGGCTCAGCAAACTCCGTCGATATCTCAGGACACTCACTCTCTCTCACCATCTTAGCTGGCGCCACATGGCGTATTAGAGCTCTGTCAGATGCGATCAGAGTGAGCCGTTCAATCTGCAGCATAAGCGCAAAGAACACATTAAACTTGCACATTTTTGAAGCAGCGAGCTGTCACATCGCATCAGGGCACGGAGGGCAGCCCGACTGCTCGCCATGCTCCATATTGAGTGCATCTTTACAGCAGGCCAGGGGTCTGTCAATGTGCCAGGTGTCGGAGGAGGGAAGAAAAACATTATACCTGTATTGATGTGACGTGGGTAGACAGGAAGGGTTTGACATTGCAGGTGTGAACCCCCAGGACTGAGTGGTTATTTGTGAATCAGAGACTGTTAAATTACTGTGAATCGAGAATCCAAAGTAATTTAGTGTCTTTGAAAAAGGCTTTAGTTAGCTTCCAGATAATTATTTGATTCGATCTTGGTGAGATTTATTTCAATGGCACTGTAATTCCTCAGCACACTGAAATTCGGGAGGCATTTGCATAGAGATGTCTGTGTAAATCTGAGTCAATGACCTCCAAAAAAGACAGCTAAACCCACATGAAAGACATAAGGTATGTTAACGTTCCCTCACCCTCTGCAGATAAAGTGCGACCAGTACTGGCCATGTAGAGGGACGGAGACCTACGGTATGATCCAAGTGACGCTCCTGGACACCATCGAACTCGCCACTTTCTGTGTGCGCACCTTCTCTCTACACAAGGTAAGACTTTTTGTGTCCACCTAAGTGCCATCTAGCATGCAAACCAATTCAGCCACAGTAGGGGTGCCAAATCCTGCTCCCAAAGGGCCAATATCTTACAGAGTTTAGCCTAATAAAGCTAATCAAGGTCTTAAGGATTGTTAGAAACTTCCAGGCAACATTTACAGGACCTTGGCCCTTCAAGAGCAGGATTGGACACCTCAGTCTACAAAAAAGGCATTTCTTAGATAATATGTGCTCCCTTTCCTAGGAACACTTTGCTTTAGACGTTTTAAAGAGTTTTACGTTGTGCATGGGCCTTTTATTTCCCTCTGGACCTTAGAGCAGACACATTACACAGTTTTGCTTTTGGGCTCCGATAGACATGCACAACTGGGATGACTGCAAATGGGAACGTTTTTCCGAAACCCTCCCAGCGTTCTCATCTCGTCTGCATACATCAACACACGCACATTTTTTTATAATCTCCTCATTTCACATCCATCATCTTTTAATGCTACGCCTGCCAAAGAGAGGCACTTAGCTAAGTGGCCAGAGCAAAACGACTCCATGCAAAATTGGCATCCCAGACGGCGCAGCGGTCAAGTAAACATGAAGTGGTTGGGAGCGAAGGAGAGAAATAGAGAGGGGTCAGCCAGTTGCACAGTCAGACCGTAACGTGAATTAAAATGGATTGAGCTTTTACTGTAGTGAAGGGCGCCCGTAAGACACGAACAGAAGCATTGATTAAAGAGAGACTGTCGTACAGAGCATGAAGAGCGTGCTTATGGTTACTGGATGATGCTTTCGTTTAAAGCTCCAGGAAAGAGAAATTAGATCTTTTCAATATATCAATTGATTCTCCTAGATAGCACAGAAAGTAACTGGATCTTCTCAGATTTGTCCCAGTAATCCACTAGTTTCAGAAGAGATCTTCTGAGCTATGAATGAGCAATTAAATTGTCTTCTTGGACAGTCTAGAATAGATGAAATGGCTTACTGTTTTTTTTTAACTAAAGGGACATCTTCGAATACAGATGAGGTGTGTTTTTGTTGCACCACAGTTGTTGTATTGCATTGCTGGGCTGAATAGTCAGAGTTTGCTTACTACCCTTACACACATACTTGCTGAAACAGTAAGGTGTATTTATGTGTGCGCATATCCTGCAGTCGCACACACAAAGTCAACCCCAGAGTCATGAATTCTTAAAAACAATCCTGCACAAGCCCATCCACTGCAGAGAAACAGCCTGCAGAAGACAGCCAGAGGAAAAAAAGTGGCTGGCAAAACTGGGCCAGTTTGCTCTTAATTACATCGTTTATTTATTCATTTATTCAAAGGAAGCCTCTGTTGGAACAGCAGAGACATTGAAATGCAAAACCTCCCTTTAAAGACGTCCAGGATGAGAAATAAAGGCTAGCAGCTAGAACTAGCAGGACACTGATGTCTCTCCCTCTTCTTAACGAAATCTCCTCTGCGGCAGACATGTTCCTGGCTCCCTTGTTTTAAAATACACTGTAGAAGACATTTTGGTGACACAAGGCGATTCCAGAACGTGTATATCATAGCATATTTATGACACTGGCATGTAAGGTCCTTGAACTGCTAGACAGCTCCATGAACTCATGCTAACACAATTAAATCGTGCATTAATAGAACTAGGGCTATATTTATCGCCACATAACCGGTAAGATTTATTTCTGTGCATTCAGGCAACTTAGCATCACAGCATTTGCTCTTCTTTCAGAATGGTTCCAGTGAAAAGCGAGAGGTCCGACAGTTCCAGTTCACCGCCTGGCCGGACCACGGCGTTCCCGAGTACCCTACTCCATTCCTGGCCTTTCTCAGGAGGGTGAAGACCTGCAATCCACCGGACGCCGGCCCCATCATCACCCATTGCAGGTCTGAACCTTTTTCCTACTTGTCAGGGCTCTCGAAGCCAGAAACTGGTCAGGAAGTCTCATCGTTCAAAGTTGTAGTCAAGTTTGGCATCATTCCCTAAAGTTGGCTTTTGGTTCTTGGTAATGAAACCAAACTTTTCTGCAACTTTCATCCCTGACTTGTGCAACATGTGGCATGTAAGGTCCTTTACTGCTAGACAGCTCCATGAACTCATGCTAACACAATTAAATCGTGCATTAATAGAACTAGGGCTATATTTATCGCCACATAACCGGTAAGATTTATTTCTGTGCATTCAGGCAACTTAGCATCACAACATTTGCTCTTCTTTCAGAATGGTTCCAGTGAAAAGCGAGAGGTCCGACAGTTCCAGTTCACCGCCTGGCCGGACCACGGCGTTCCCGAGTACCCTACTCCATTCCTGGCCTTTCTCAGGAGGGTGAAGACCTGCAATCCACCGGACGCCGGCCCCATCATCACCCATTGCAGGTCTGAACCTTTTTCCTACTTGTCAGGGCTCTCGAAGCCAGAAACTGGTCAGGAAGTCTCATCGTTCAAAGTTGTAGTCAAGTTTGGCATCATTCCCTAAAGTTGGCTTTTGGTTCTTGGTAATGAAACCAAACTTTTCTGCAACTTTCATCCCTGACTTGTGCAACATGTGTTTTCAGTGCTGGCGTGGGCCGCACAGGCTGCTTCATCGTGATTGATGCCATGCTAGAGCGAATCAAGCATGAGAAGACGGTGGACATCTACGGTCACGTGACCCTTATGCGCTCCCAGAGGAACTACATGGTGCAGACGGAAGACCAGTACAGCTTCATCCACGATGCCCTCCTGGAGGCCGTCGCCTGCGGGAACACGGAGGTGGCAGCACGAAGCCTCTTCTCCTATATCCAGAAGTTGGCACAGGTGGAGACCGGAGAGCACGTCAGCGGCATGGAGCTGGAGTTTAAGGTATCCACAAGACATATGAAAAGTAGGAAGATAATCGAGCTAGTAGCAATCAACACCTCTTGATGGCATGTTTTGTTACTGTAGATACAGATGTGAAACTCTAGCTGTAGTTGTGACAGAGACAACCAAAGTTGATGACAGCCAGAGAGGGATTGTGGAAAGGGTAATTAACACCCGGTGAAGACGGATGTTGAGGAGAAGCGATGTGTTCACTAATGAGCAGACAGGGATTGTGGGTTCCATTTGGTAACTAAAACACCCCTGCAGGTTTCTGGCCTCCAAGGCCTTGAAAAGCTTTTCCTTCTTTCCAGTTCTTTTGCTCTTTCAGGCTCGTTCTTTAGCTTGGAACAAAGTAGTCCTCACCAGCTCAGGGAGAAGCATTGGTAGCATTAGTGAGGTGGCAAACCAATTAGTTTAACGATGGGTCCAAGTAGCAAGGTGATAGCATTTCTATTTTTAAAAATTGTAGTAGTAAAGCTCTTTTTATTGAGTAGTATTGTCAAACATACTATTTTAGTAATCAAGTTGTGAATCTAGTGTTGCTAAAGCACAGCTCACAATGTCCAATTCATGACTGAATGAGTTCCTTAAAAGAGATCATCAAACTAGTTAGCAAAATGTCTGAATTGCTTTGCAAATTGGTCAGAAACGGTTCCTCATGAGAGAAAAAAGTAGCATCATTTTCGCTAATTGAGTATGCCATTCTAGCCACAAAATCAAATAGCAACATGCTAAGATGGCAGACCAATCAGTTAGAGTTGTGCTAGGCTGGTAATTCAGTGGTATACTTAGCCACACATCACTTTCACTTTTTAAATTAACACATCATTTATGACTTTTATTTGTCATATTTATATGGTTAGCATGGGGGGAATATTTTGCCAACACTATGAGAGTGCTAGTGCTAATAAGGTGCCTACAGGGCTAACCATGTCAAAAACCTCTTTTAAACTCTACCCCGGCCCGCTAAACTAGCCAAAGTGTGTGTGTGTGTGTGTGTGTGTGTGCTTATTATTTCAACAGCTCAGGTTTATAGTTGGCTCTTCCCACCGGAATGCCTCATGCCCTTCCAGGTCCCTCTTTGAAAGCTACTCAAAGACTCAAAGGAAAGACAAACAGCCAATGGCTGCTTCTGAAAGAAAGAGAAAAAAAGACTAGGCCTGGAGCAGGAACTGAATGGATTTATAACCGGGCAAAGGCATTACCTGGCAGAACAGAAGAGAGAGAGAGAGAGAGAGAGAGTGCGGCACAGTTTCTAGATGTGCCAGACTCGTCCAGTTAAAAGGAGACAATGCTTCCAGACAACTGACCTAGAAAACGGAGAAGAATTGCGGGTACTGTGGCTTGGTTGATGTTAATTGATGGTTACAAGCTCTAATTTGGATCATGAGACGAGGGTACGAGGTGTATGTGCGCGTACAAAACGGTGGTGTCTAGTCAGAGTATGAATACAAAGCAGCATCCTAAAAGAAACAGTGACCCATTTTGCCAATTGCCGCCAAAGTTGCATGACCTTCCGTTTGTTTCGGAGCAGGGTTTCATGCCACCTGATGGACGAAAAATGGGGGTTTTGGTCATTATAACAGCAACGAGCATTGACAGGTTTCCTGCGAGCACAAGTAAACTGGGTCACCCAGTCTTGCCCATTTATAAACAGTCTGAGACTGAGAAAAATAGAGGCATTACACCAAAAATAAAAGGTCAGAACGGTTAAATGACTGCCTGAGATTCCCATGCAGCAAGTAATGTCCTTCAAGCCTAAATATCTGTAATGGTGTTGGAAGTTAACTCTATTTAAGCTGTAAATGTTTTCAGTTTTAGAGATTGGCTTGGATTGATCAATCGTCTTTCTTTTCCCACAGCGTTTGGCGAACTCCAAAGCCCACACGTCCAGATTCATAAGTGCCAATCTGCCATGCAACAAATTTAAAAACCGCCTGGTAAACATCATGCCGTATGAGACCACTCGAGTGTGTCTGCAGCCCATCAGAGGGCTGGAGGGATCCGACTATATCAATGCTAGCTTCATTGACGGATACAGGTACGGCGACAGAGATCTGCAGTGGGAAAGCAACCGAAGTCATTTGTTTTGCCAATTTGAGCACCTTAATTCACAGGCACTCACTTTCTCTTTCCTGTAGACAACAGAAGGCTTATATATCCACACAAGGGCCATTAGCAGAGACCACTGAAGACTTCTGGAGGATGTTGTGGGAGAACAACTCCACCATCGTGGTGATGCTGACCAAACTGAGGGAGATGGGACGAGTGAGTGTCTCTCTTAAAGACCATTGGCTTTTGGCTTCCAGAGCATGTGATTTAATTATGTTTTTGTTTGTTTTCGCAGGAAAAGTGTCACCAGTACTGGCCAGCGGAGCGCTCCGCTAGATATCAGTACTTTGTGGTGGATCCAATGGCAGAGTACAACATGCCGCAGTACATCCTCAGAGAGTTTAAAGTGACGGATGCTCGGGTGAGTCCTGAAATATTAAATTCAATTCAAGTTTATTTGTATAGCGCTTTTCACAATACAAATCGTTGCAATGCAATTCGTTGAAATACAACAAAAACATATTGTGCCGAATGGTACTGAATGATTACCGTGTTCATATACCATACCTTTCCTGAGGTATTTACATGGTATTTTGAAGCACGTCAGAGAATATCATGGTGTTCTTATGAAAAATAATACTACCGTGTTATTTTGGACATTTACAATGATATTCTTGGATGTACTATATAAAAACCATTATATCGCCAAGGTATTTCCAAGAATATTGTGGTATTAATATGGTACATGTCCAAAAACCACAGTATTATCATGGTATCATGTATGAAATCATCTAAATACTGTGGTACTTTGACATTGTGATATTAAATATTACTATATTTACATACCATGGTACTCCGAGACTTTTCAAAGAATGTCATGTTTTCTTGGCACCATGAGGGAAAAATATGGTAATACCATGGTATGTTCATATTTACCATGGTATTGAATGATGACCATGGTATTTACTGCAAAGAGTGTCATGGTATTATCATGACATATATCTAATAAACATAGTAAATCATGGATTTAATACAGTAATACTGATGCTAATAATATTATTATTTTTTTTATATTAAATATACATTTTATATATAAATTAGGTAACACTTTATTTTAAGGTGTCCTTGTTACACATATTACATGTACTTACTATTATAATAACAATTAATTATGCATAATTACATGCAAGTACCCCTAAGCCAAACCCTAACCCTAAAAATATAGTAAGTACATGTAGTTAATTAATATTACTCAGTACGTAAATGTATAATTACACTGTAGCAAGGACACCGTAAAATAAAGTGTAACCATAAATTATATAAAAATGTTTATTGTTTACTATATTATTATATATAATTGCTATATATTAGAAATTATATATTAATTCTGTATATTTTATTTAATTATATTTTGAGTATTTTATTAATTTCTTATATGTATAAATATTGATTCATACATATTATATTTTATAATGTACATCATGCGGTAAAAACATGGTAATACCATGGTATATTATTATTTATTCATATAGCATTTATATTAAAATATAAATCTAGCATGTTTGTATTTATATTATTATTATTTTTACATTATATAATTGTTTTATTTTTATTATATTTTAGTATTAATAGTATTTAGTATTTATAATTTCTTACTAATATGTATAAATTAATATTGATTTTAAATATTGATGTAAATCATGCCATAAAAACAAGGTAATACCACATCATTGTTTTCTTCTTGTTTTTGGAAGCACATTATTGCAGATTACATCAATTACAAAGTGTTTCAGGTAAAAATAACGCAATTAAATTTAGTTCTGTATCCATTCTGAGCCAAAATACTGTTAGATGTCTTATAATCATGTTTCCCATGAGTCTCAGCAGTAGGTCTTTCTCTAGAAATGCCTGAATATCCCATCAAGTGAGCGACTGCTAGCAGAACCGCTCATTTAACGACTCCAACCCTCATCAGTCGAGTGGCCTTTCCAGCAAACCGTTAAAGAGAAACACTCTGAGCGGACAGGCCCAAGATGAAAAGAGCATCCCGAGCGTCGCTCACTCCAGCCAAGCACTTTAATCGTGATTGAATCATCCAGACAGGCTCTCCAGTAATCAGACTGCAGCGAGAATCAAAGAGAGCTTTAATCAGAGCCGACTGGAGGAGGCGGAGCCTGGACGAGGCATGATGGGCCGCCGCCGCGCTCGCTTCGGCAGCGAACAAGTCACGTATTTAAAGGGATAGTTCACCCAAAAATGAAAAGTTACTCGCCCTCATGTCGTTTCAAACCCGTAAGACCTTCGTTCATCTTGTAATACCACATCATTGTTTTCTTCTTGTTTTTGGAAGCACATTATTGCAGATTACATCAATTACAAAGTGTTTCAGGTAAAAATAATGCAATTAAATTTAGTTCTGTATCCATTCTGAGCCAAAATACTGTTAGATGCCTTATAATCATGTTTCCCATGAGTCTCAGCAGTAGGTCTTTCTCTAGAAATGCCTGAATATCCCCATCAAGTGAGCGACTGCTAGCAGAACCGCTCATTTAACGACTCCAACCCTCATCAGTCGAGTGGCCTTTCCAGCAAACCGTTAAAGCGAAACACTCTGAGCGGACAGGCCCAAGATGAAAAGAGCATCCCGAGCGTCGCTCACTCCAGCCAAGCACTTTAATCGTGATTGAATCATCCAGACAGGCTCTCCAGTAATCAGACTGCAGCGAGAATCAAAGAGAGCTTTAATCAGAGCCGACTGGAGGAGGGGGAGCCTGGACGAGGCATGATGGGCCGCCGCCGCGCTCGCTTCGGCAGCGAACAAGTCACGTATTTAAAGGGATAGTTCACCAAAAAATGAAAAGTTACTCGCCCTCATGTCGTTTCAAACCCGTAAGACCTTCGTTCATCTTCAGGACACAAATTAAGATATTTGTGATGGAATCTGAGAGCTGTCTGACCCTGCATAGACAGCAACACAACTGAAATGTTCCCAAGTTCAGAAACGTAGCAAGGAGATCTGTAAAATAATCCAGTGGTTCATCCGCAATTATATACTTTCTGAGCGCAAAAGAATGGACGTATGTATGCTGTTCTGTGTCAGCTGCGTCACGCCGGATCTGTTTCCTTCGTTGTTGTGATTTGATCTGAATGGAAACGGTGTATCCGTGTGACGAATTGTTGAATAAAGTCGTTATTTTTTTTTCTTTTGCGCACAAAAAGTATTCTCGTAGCTTCGTATAATTGCGGATGAACCCGTGATGTCACATGGATTATTTTACAGATCTCCTTGCTACGTTTCTGGACTTGGGAACATTTCAGTTGTGTTGCTGTCTATGCAGGGTCAGACAGCTCTCAGATTCCATCACAAATATCTTAATTTGTGTCCTGAAGATGAACGAAGGTCTTACGGGTTTGAAACGACATGAGGGTGAGTAATTAATGACAGCATTTTCATTTTTGGGTGAACTAACCTGCTTGACTGCGATCAAGCGCTGTCGAGAGGATATATATAGACAATATTCAGTTTATATGTTGCTATTTAGGTATTTGTTCTGAAATTGCTCATAGGAATCAATCAGAAGGACCATAATTTTGAGTAAAGCTGTTGTTGCAAAGTTATGTAGTTGGTGTGTGTTTTAATGAACACGAGGAAGAATATTTATTTTTAACATTATAATAATTAAATATTATTAATAATATTGTATTATTTTATTATTAATATTATACTATTAGTAATAATATATATATATATATTAAAATTATACTAAAAATAGAATTTAAATGTTAATAAAAATAAATATTGATGCAGAGTAAAGTTGCATAGCTAAAAATAATTTAATATTTTAATGAACACAAGAAAGAATATTAATCATTAATTAATATAATAATAATACAGTTATTAATAATACAATATTATTGTTATATATATATAATCTTTTTTATTAATGTTGATATTTTATTCAATATCAGGTTAATATTACTTATAATTTGAGTTCCTGCTTATATTTATTAATTTAAATAAAAAAAGGGTGTGTGCGTGTGTATTTTTTTATTACACTTTTGAATATCATTTTAATATTATATATACTCAAACAATTTAAATAAAAAATATAACATTTTAATATATATATATATATATATATATATATATATATATATTTTTTTATA